CCTCCGCCTCCGAGCCGGGCCGGGCGCGCGGCAGCCGCGGGGACGGCGGTCCCGGGCGCGATCAACTCCCGGGCCTGTGTTTGTGAGTGTGAGAAGCAGTTTGTCGTCCTCCACGACTGGGTTTATCACCAGCAGAATGGAAATAGAAGTTTTCCTGTAAAGGGAACAGACGAAATAATCGTGACCCCCCCCCCGCCCCCCGCCCCGAGGTAGGAATAGTGGACTTTGACTGCTTTGAGACGGATGAGGGTGATGAAGTCTGGAAGGAGCCGGGGTGAGGCTCCAGTCTTGGATACAACGGAGTAAGATGCTCGGGGGAAAAGTTGAAATACTCTGTCCAAGTGACTAATGCTTGTGAGTGTATAAAGTAATTTAAAAAGCAGGATTGATTTCTCCTTGGCGTCTCTGTGAGCAGTAGGCGCTGTGAGTCAGTGAGCCGCTGTGCTAACACGATTAACTCCTTACATCTGCTCACCCGGGAGCACATGGTGAGGTGCGTCCTCCTTATTCCGGGAACAGTTATTATGCCCATTTTACAGATGAGGAAACTGATGCCTTAAGTGGTTCGGTGACTGTCCGCAGGTTGGGCAGCTGATGAGTGTTTGTAGAAGGACATTTCGTGCATCCGCAGAGGGGAAGCCACAGCCTGACAGCGACCACGGGGGTGTGGGGGTGTGGGTCAGCGAACCAGAGTTCCTGAATCTCTGTGTCCCCTGCTGTTGTGCTTAGCGCCCTTCAAACAGTCCTTCTTATGACCCTAAGACTTCTGCTGGCTGGGTTTAGAGATGGTGCTTTTCTGTATGGGGTTGGGGAGGAGTGGAAAGGGGCGAGACTGTCCTGGTGGCCTGATCAGCTCCCACCGGTCAGCGGCTCTATGGCACCTCACTCCAGGTAAGTTTCTGGAGTCCTCTTACCCAGTGAACGTTATCTGTGGGGTCTGCAAGGTGTTGGGAGGAACCAGAGGCAGGAGGAGAGGAATTTCAATGAAGGGAAGTGGGAGGGCTCCAGAACTCCATGAACAAGACAGAGGGGAGAGAAAGGGGCCAAGAGATTTGCTCAAGACATCGGTGCCAATCCAGATTCCACACATGGAGAAACTGGGGGTGATTATGCCAGAGGGGCACTGGTGGGGAAGCAGGTTTTCTGTAACATTTCCAGTGATCTCTTGGTAGACTATGAAAGGGCTGCTCTTTGTGCAGCGGGAATCTTTGAGGTTCTCAGATTTCATACTTAAAAAAAAAAAAAGATGTACAGTGGGGAAAAGGAGTTGGCAAATGTAGGTCTCAAGATGGAAGATAAAAGGGATCTGGTAATTTTAACTCTCTCTGTCCCTCTCCCCCTCAGGCAGCACGCACAAAACCAACTCAACACACTTGCGTGATCAGAAACAAATATTGAAACTCTGGTTGAGATCAAATAGTTCTGTGGAAATGAAAATGTTTACTCATGAAAGCTTAAAGAAAATGTCAGGAGGTAATTTTTGTTTGTGGAGCAACAGGGAGGAGTATCTTGGGGATCGTGTTGAAGTGGAACATGGCTTTCCTGGACTTTGAACATCATTCAGTACATGTCTTAACTCACTTCTTGCAGGTGAGGGCTGGTTTGTAACTCCTGCCTACTTCCGTCAGTTTCGATCTATCCACTTCTTCTGTAATGTATGTGAGCCTGCAAACCATGGCTGTAAATTGAGATGGAGCTAAGGCTGGATAAGCAGTTCAGACAGAGGAGGGTGGAGGGAGCCATTTTCACCGAAAATAGAACCAATGTCATCCTTTCCGAGAGTTGAGTAGGATGGGGTGGGGGTGGGGGGGACAAAAGGGCAGTCAGTAGAGAACCTCCCTGTGGTCCTATGGCCCTGCTACGGCTCGACTGTGCAGATGTGGCCAAGAATTATGGGGAAAAGAAAATCTGAGTTTACTTCTTCCTCACTTAAGATGCTTTTCCTCTTTCAGACATTTACTGTTTCTGCTTCTCTTCTGTGAAGTGTTTTGCATTTAAGCGTGTGGTTTCCCCAGTAAGTTTGTGTTTTCTCTGTCCGAGGCCTCTGTTTCCTACCTTCTCTCCTCAGTCCTGTCTCCTTTCCCCGCACACATCTTCACTGACAAGTGAAGCCAGGAGCTGCAGACCAAGGAAAGCCTCATGTCCCTGCCGCCTGCAGTCCTGCGGGCGGCTGCCCTGGTGGCTTCCTTGCCACCTGTCTCAGCGGCTGGCCAGGCCCTTCTCTGGTCCCCCACCCAGGACTGTCCATCCCGTCCCCTCTCGCCTCGTCAGGCCACCTCCCTCCAGGGTCTATCTTATCCGTATACACGCAGGCTTTGGTTCAGTGCTGTCCAGTAGACCTTTTCACACTGATGGGAATGTGCTGTGTCTGCGTGGCCCAGGACAGCTGCCCCCAGCTGCATGTGTCTAGTGTGACCGAGGACCTGAATTTTTAATTTAATTGAAATTGAAATAGCCACATGTGGGCAGTGGCTGCCATATTGGAGAGTGTAGCTTTCGCTTCTGTCATCTTCTCTGTCTTGCTTCTTTGCTCCCCTTCACCTGAAAACATCTCAGAAGATATGTCCCAAACCCACTCTCTCCATTGGCTTTCTTCTCCTACCATTCCTTACCCTCCACGCTCTGCAGACCCACCCCAACTGCGGGGTCCCTGGTAACCAGAGTGCTGCCAGATCTC